GTTCTGCAACCCATCCAGGCCTTAGGTTACATTATATAAAATTCCACGTTAGAAGTTCGGCGTTCCACTCAGTATCTGACAAGGTGTTGGGCAAAGAAATACCTAAAGGCCAGTTGTAGTGTTTTACCCATCGTTTCATTCATCTGCTCTGAAAGTAAATCGCTGATCCATCCTTTTTCACTATGGTCTCGCTAAGTATTGAAATTTCTGCTCCTTTCCTTGGTCAGTCTGCGTAACTGTCTCCTGTTACCCATCACCGGTGCGCTCGCTGTCTACCACCACTCACGGTCATTGCAGTCTCTGTCACTCTTCATTTGAGTAGCTTCCGTTCATCATTGTGCTCGGATCTTGCAAGAATGTATTCGCTTGCATTCTTCAATTCAGAAAAAGCTTCCGAGATCCACTAACGCTTTCTCATCTCTTTTTAAGATTCTGCTATGATCTTCGACGCCGTTTTTACAGCACACTGGAGATGACGCCGGGCTTCTTCCAAACGAGTAACGTCTTATCCTGATAACTGTCTTACCGATTCCTCATTAAAAGTAGCCTTGGTATGCCCATCATCGAGCTGGACTGGCAATGCTCTTGTTGCTTTATTTTCTCTTTGTTAATTTAGACGCAAAATTGTGTGCTCAGACCACCTCATGATCACTTTCTAACCACGTGTTCCAGAGAAAGCGACCATCTTCCACTGATCCTCGCAAGCGATAACTGATAGCAATATTGTCTATCCAATGTTGAGTTGAGTTGAGTTTGGTGAACGCCACCCCAGACAGTGTTTCTCCTTACATCTGAATTTTGTACTGACCAGAAATGGTTGGTTGTTTGAGTACAGTTTTAGCAAGTGATCACCATTATCTGTTCATTAAGCTGGAATTCCGAAAGTACCATCTAAGTGTCATATTGCTTAACTTAGCAAACCTACTGATACAAGAACTTGAACCTTTGGCTCTTTGTAGTAAGCTAGACAGCTTTCGGTAGAATTATTCCTCCAATTCACCCTAACTACAGTCAATGGAAGATAGCAAAAAGACAACGACGAGTTTCGTTTTTCTTTTTTGTTTTCACCGAACCATTCAGTCGCAAAGAACCCACGAGACTGTCAACTGGGGTCCTGTTGAGTAGTGCAACTTCTGCCTTAGGACCCAATACCATACTTATACCTACAAGACGGGGAGAACAAGAAATTGAATCTCTGGAAACTTGAAGGGCGAATTTCGCAAGTTTATCATTTAGCTAGGTAAGTTTAGGTGAATAATCACACTCGAATTTTGTATGCATTCCTCTTACTTAGATTCCGAACAGTAAGTAGCTGAGTGCGTAGGCTACCATTAACATCTTTTTACGTAGGAGGCAAATTGCAAACTGTACATATGCTAAAAAACCCCATCAGCACTTACTAACTTGCGTCATACTTGATGTCTGTATGCATGAAAGACTGGGTATAAAATGGAGCTAAAGACTGGTTTTTAGACTATCATTAAGATATAAAAGCTACCGGCAAAAGACATGTAGTTAATGCTTAACCATCTATATCTCTAGTGAATTTTTCTCATTCGTCACAAATTCTGGGTAACACTAAAGTTGAGTAGAAAAAGGTTGATTTTAAATTTTACATTCTCACTCAGAAAGTATACAGTGCCAGTTAGCTGCTTCAGAACGCTCAGCAGTGTTATTTTTTCCTAGGTGTTGAAAACGTTTCAACTATGTGGCTTTACTGTCATGCACAATAGACTGTTTCGCTTCTTTTGACTTGATCTAGGAAAAAATACCCTTGTAGCACCAAATGTTAGTGTAATACAGCTCAACCCGGTAAAGGTTTATGAACTCAGGCTGTGAGGCACACTTGTAGTGTGAGTTTATGGTACAATGCCGTCGCCTAGGCCAAATTAGGTGGAGCGAGGTTCAGACCTGTAAACCATTACTTGAAAGTTCACTTATTGAACCAATGAGCCATACCCTAAAGCACACCCTTAGAAATCCCAGTGTTCTGAAGATAAAATAAAAGTGAGATAGTATTCCTAGGGAAAAAGACAATCACTTGTGTGTGGCTTTTGTTTTCCTGATGTACTAGAAGAAAGAGGATGATAACGAGACCGCAAATTCTTTCAGTTCTCCAGCATATTCGACTTATTTTGGGTTCACTCAGCCTCAGTCTCGTAGATCTTACAGGCATTCGTAACAACATATATTGACACAAGCCTGGTTTTCGTGACGCTATTCGTCTAACCACTCCTAACTGGATTGCATAATCATATAGACGATAAAACAATGTTCGTATTGTCTTTTCGAGTCACTAAGATTCATGTTGCAAGATGACTTCATGATTAATTCTGTACATTATCTAAAACAATTATCAAACAATGCTATAAAGGTAACAGTTATCGATAAAAGGACTGGCGAAAATGTCTTGATTTGTGAAGGTTAGGAGTTATAGATATAGGACCCCACTGTGCCAACTGAAGTTATGTCCATCAAACTACGAAATTCTACATTGATTTAAATTGTCTCCTACATTTGTTAAGCCTTTTATTGCACAGATATTTACCTCATCTATTACAACCAGCCAGTATTCATGCAGCCATATAGAAAGACAAATCCTTCACTCGGTACTAGTCATTCATCACTGACGACAAGTACATGTATTTCCTCCTGACAGTTTAGTGAATACGTTTTGCGCTCCAGTAGAACGGAAAAACCTTGATTTGGTGTCTAGTTCACTGGAATATTAAGTTCATTCTTAGTTGTCTGAATATATTAATGCATTATGAGATCGTACATATAACTAAGGGAGTCGGTTACTTTCAAGTTTGCGAGTTGTTTGTAAGATAATGTGTCAAGGAAATGAACAACTGGACAAGATTTAGAGCCCCATTTCTCTAAAGTTGTTATGATATGTCAGTCGTATTCAGTGGCTGTTTGTCTCGAAAGGCCTTAGGAGTTATTGAAAAAAAGATTTAACAATAGTAGTTGCACTCATGAAGAATAGAAGAGGGAGAACTGATAAAAAATGTCAGTGTGATGTATGAAGTTAATGACTATTTTTCTGATCCTTATTAAAGTGTCTTAGTTTAGTTTAGCACCTTTCTCACTGTCTTCGGACTTGAACTATTTCAGAAAGACGTAACAGCTTGAGCTATTGCTGTACTTCACTGTACTCTCTATGCTGTTCAGTTTTTGTATGAATTTTAAGTTTAAAACAGGGGCTTTTGAAAAAGCTGTGTGTAGTGAAAGTTGTCTGTTTTTCCTCAGACAAATGGGTTGTTTGTTTTAAATCTCAGACTAACCTCTCGGCTTCATGTATAAATTTCACTAGGCGATAAAGCAAATTGATTGGTATGCTTCCGCTCCCAATTCATTTACCACTTTTATTCGCCTCAGGTATCTACTGGTTTTTTAACTTCTTACATTTCATTCGTTACTAAGAAATGAAGTCTAATTTATCAGTAAATAAGCCTATTCGTTTAACTGGTGATGCTGATACTTGTGAGCTATCAGGGGTTATTATAACAGCAACACAAGTTATCAGTGGTTTACAACCTGGGGTGTTGCGCTATGGATGATATCTGTTCTCCAAGGGTTACGTATGCTACCGGGCTTGGATGAAGAAGTGTTCAAGCCCGTAGAGTAGTAGTTTACACTTGAGTGTTTAGACCATTAATCTATATCTTCAACAATCCTGTAGAGATGTACTGTTTATGTGATAGCGTATGGTCAACTTTCGTAGGCCTGTATACAGTCTCCTGACTCAAAATTGATTTTGCTATTTTCCTACTGTAAAGTTTTATTCAAATTTCTCAGTTTTTGATCAGTGACTTAACGGTCACTGCGTTCGATTATTATTATATCTTTAAAGGCAGTATTCCTCATGGACTGAGATCAGCTGGAGAACCATGGAAAGCACTGAAACACAACTGTTTCGTCCTAGTATTGGACTCCTGATCAGTGCACACACGTTACTTCGCTAGGGGTCGAACCTATGACCGTCTGGTCTCTTAGTGAGCACACTATCATTCAGCTCCACTGAGTCAGAACCCTTTGTTCCACAACTCCCTACTGCTGTCAAATCGCGATGCTGTGCGATTGTCAAGCAATACTATCGGCAACTATTTGTCCTGACATTCGAATTGGTTGGCCTCATATATCATGACTTATTAGAACTTCAACTAATCCATCTTGAAGCAGTGTCACTAGTATGCACGAGACAGTAATCCAATCTTAAATTTTATAGGAGTTGATTGATTTCAAAGCAGTATTCATCATGGCCATTAAGAACTTGGGAGCACTGGTAAGCTATATCACCAACTGCCAGAAGTAAGAGATTTCAAACCATGCTATTCCGACTCAGTGGCTAAATGTTAACGTGCTTGATACGAGACCTTAGTTTTGGGTTCGATTCTTGGTGGGGTCATGGATGCGCACTGCTGAGTTCAGTACTAGGACGAAACAGCTGTCCTATGTTCCAAGGTTTCCAATGACTTACTGATGGCAGTCTGCGATGAGCACTACCTTGAAGTCAGTACGTGCAAACCTCCAAACTGAATCTACCTATTTAGTTGTAAGCCATATCTTACGCTCAGTGGTTTACAAATGCCACCCGATTGCCGAGGCCAAAGTACGTGGTGTTTGTGAACATTTTGCTTTGCGTGTGAAAGTAATATGTACAGATTATTAGTTTGAAAGGTGTATAGAGCGCCTAATTGTATTTCTTAACTGCTTTACGACTTCGTCGCACCACCTAAGGAAATTGAACGAAATTCTCTGGTTTTAGTTGAGACTAACAAAAGGTATATCAGTACTTTGTATTTTGTCTGTAAAGCTCTATAAAACACTAAGTATTGCTACAGTTGTTCACGAATTGTATACTACCTGTAATTACTTTTTTGTTATTTTGTAGGTCATACACAAGATGAACTACCACTTTACTGTTTGTCCGGTCAAAGATAAACATTTGGTATACCGTCTCTGTAAAAGCACTACTGGACATTTGCTAATCAAAAATGCCTACTCCGCACTTATCAAGAGCCCCATCAGGACCATCTCCTAAATATGCCACTGGAGATGAATTATGTGATACTACTTGCCCAATTGATTGGGATACAAATGTAGTGAATTTCATATCTACTTGCCTACATCCTGGTTTAGTTCGACGTACTTCGTCATCGGCTGTTGGTCATGGTTTTGATAAACCATATCATTTTAGGCGTCAACATCGTCGAAATTTTTCGACAGCTACAGCAGCTGGATATACTAAGTATCCTGATATTCAAAATGCTAGTAGTCGACTTCCATATTCGAATGCTTTCAACCATTCAAATGATTATCAAGTCGCTCCAACCTATTATAAACGTGTTTTAGGTCACACACGTAATATAAGTGACCCAACATCTGGATGGGATTTTCGTGTTGTCAATAAACCTCTTACTCTTGATCAGTTAACTGAAAGACCATCATTTAATTGGGATGGTTTTGATGGACAGCATCCAGTTGTATCCTCTGAAAATCAGCACACCCTTCCAGATGCTTCAGCCATTCATGAAATTAAAGCCGAAAATTATCCTTGTTTAAAACCCTCTCCTCCGTCCAATGATGTGATAGAAAGTTCACTTATGTGCACAGGTGATATGGAAATTAGTCAAACGAGGAATTCTGAATGTGATGTTGATGATAATACTGGTGCTTGTTTATCCCCTTGTTTTCGTTCCTGTGCTAACCCATGTGTCGTATTAGTTGGATTATGCCTAACAATGTTCATGCAAACTATGGTGGTGTCTGGTCTAATGAGTAGCATGTTTACTACATTGGAGAAGCGATTTAATTTAACCAGTCGTCAAATTGGTTATATGATTAGTTGTTATGAAATAGCTGGTGTGGTAACCACAGTGGTAGTTAGTTTCATCAATGGACAAAAGCACAATCGTCTACGTGTCATTGGTTTAGCAACATTAATCCTGGCTCTTGGTTTCGGACTATTTGCATTGCCTCATTTTTTAGCTGGTCCCTATAGACCAAGTTTATTTTCTTATGATACTACTGCTGTCGAGAATGATAGTCTCTTACATTCATCTCATGCTCCTCCTTATCATCTTCATTCTAATCAAGATCCAACAGATCAAATGACTGGACCAATTTGTATTCACCAAACACACAATACCGTTGCTTCTCATGAGGTCATTCAAACATCTTTTGCTGATGAGACTAATGTTGATGCCAGTGTTATTCGTGCTGTCTCACTGACAACTACTAATCACGTAAATAATATAAACAGTAACAGTACTAATGGATTATCAAACATGGAATCAATAATTAGTAACGACATTGTTACGTCTGTTCTTTTTCCAACTTTTTGTATTGCAATGCTGTTAGCTGGGATAGGTGCTAGTCCTCTGTATGTTTTAGCACCAACTTATTTATGGGATAATTTAACAGACAGACAGTATCCAATCTATGCAGGTATGTACCGTAGTTCTGTTTCATATATTATATGCATATTATTCGTTTGGTGTTGATTCGTCTGTTTGCCTACAGTTCACTTGTAACTCAATAATGGTGAAACCTTTTACCCTAGCAGTCATTAGATGATTACATATTTTATTTTGTCTTAATTCTATCTGAATTGAGCAGTAATATTCCTAAACATCTCATATAACGGCACTAATCGTTAGATCTATACAACTGTCGGAAGTTCACCGGCACTGGATCTTTTTACCCCACTAACGAAACTATTTATTGTCAGATAAAGGATGAACAGTGATGTCTGCTTGGTGGCTATCAGTGAGATCCAGGACGTACATTTCGTCCTATTTGGGACTCTTCAACTGGATGTACCTGCGCTCCAGTGAGTGGTGTTGTCGCCACTGAAACTCGAACTCAGTATCCGTCACCTCAAACACCAAAGCGTTATCCATTGGGGCGCGAGACCCACCTTTTGTGCAACGAGTATCAGTTGTTGTTTGGTGCTTGTAATCTTCCGTTGCTACACTTGCTCGAATCGTTCGACAGTAATCTTGTCTCTTGATATTTTCTTTTTCCTGCGTAGTTGACTGCTTTTCACTTCACTTGGTCATTTCTATCCATTGATATTCTGTTCGGTAGGAATCTGCTGCATAGTTTTTTCAACACTCAACCATTTAATCATCTCGACTGAGCTGCTGACAAAGTAGTGTACATTGCGAGTCAGCTGTTGCTATCGTTTATCAGTCTTAATTTTGTTTTATAAAAATTACTGTCTTTACTTTCTTGTTATGATCCACGCTATAGATAACGATACAATGCTCTGACGCGATACGATTATCGATAGAGCAATGACTTCTCAACTCGATATTCAGCTGACAGCAGAAGAAGACGATTGGATTAAAAGTATATTTAATTCAACCAAATAATCATAACTGAAAACCCAGTCGTTTATATATCCATAGATGACCTTGGCCTGAGAAAACAAAATACTATATTAAAAGTGTAGAATGGACCAATCAGCGCATAGTGTCCTAAATTGCGGTAAAAATAAGTAACAGCATAGCGCAAAAGGGGCGCGAAAATAAGGTTTAAGTTTTGCAATGATAATATGAACATTGTTAAGTTAGTTTTCTTTAAGATTAGGCATCCCTAACATTTCCCTTGGATGTCATTAATTGAAAACAGAAAGGAGTAAAAGTGAAGCATACCACTCGAAGTTGTTACACAACTTAGACGGATGATCTCTAGAAACTGCCATCCAAATGCATCTTCAACATAGAACTATGAAATATAAGAGCGACTGACTAGAAGCCTCACCTGTCTTGCTCTTTGCAGTCATTGCCAATCACAATTATTAGCAAGTTATATTGACAGCATCAAGCAACGTGTCTCTATAGCGTCTTTAACTTTCCTACCAAACGATGCAGGTTTGAATTTATGCAGAAGCATACAAATTGTTTTAGGGGTTTCAAATACCTCGCATATGAATGCCAAAAAGCATTGAACCTAAATTCAGAGGTATTTGGTGAGTGAGTTATAAATACCTAACTGGACATGAAAATGTTATATATTATCATTTTGCTTCACTTTAAAAGCTAATGAAAACTATTCGGTAACAAATTAGTATAAATACTGAGGTATTTATCCCTTTGACAATATGCTTCTTGGAGGGAGTTCATGAGGATAATTTTACTTCACTCAAAAGGGAATTGATACCTCAACAGCACAACCACAACAACATTTTTTTTCTAGGGGATTAAATTCATTTTGCTTTAATGTTCGTTCAGTAATCATTTGATATAAACGTAATATATAGTTTAATACATAACGGTGCAAGTTGTCACACCTCACTTCACCACACCAAAGTACATGGCAACGAAGCGAAAGTCAGTGAGGCAGAAATAATGTAATTCTAATTTCAAAAAGCTATAAGATATTAAGAAACAAAAGCGAATGACGGAATGCGAAATTAAGTCCTAGATGAAAGTACAATATGAATACTTCTTTATCACTAAAATCAGTTTTGAATCGCTGCACAGAACCTTCGTAGTTGAATAATCAATCTGAAACTTAAAATACTTGGGATGATAGTCCGTGTTTTCCTTATAATAAAACACCAAAACTCCTTGATACTAACGGATATCATCGTTCTACAGATGAATCAAATTACGAGCAGTTTTTTAAGGCAGGAAAATTCTCGAATCAACAGTGCAAGATAAGATACAGGCAGATGCAGTCATCGTACCAAGTGAAATCCTTATGTCAAAGTGGTAAGCAAGTAAAGTGATATTAATGATACCAAATATATGGCAGTAATTGGAGGTTGTATTAACGCATAAAGCTAGATAAGAATCAGAGAAAGAGAAAGGAATACAATACCTGTGTAAAGGAGACTAGCGTTTCAGAGATTCAGCTTTAGGAATACTGAAGTTGCAGACAGAATTAATACCATTGATAAGTAGTGAGGTTTTTACATCTTTTCTGATTGTGAAGTCCGTCATACAGCCTTAATTCGGCTAACTTCTTGACCTCATCTTTTTTCCTAATCCATACGTAGATGTGGAAAAAAGTACATTAAAAAGCACAGAGATTGTTGCATGTTTGATTTATTGATTATGTCACTGAGAGTCTCTTTCGCTAAGGCTTAACCTTGATAGGCAATACAATAGTTAGTGACAGTTGATACGGGACATGTTACTGACTCACCGAAATCCTTAACATTAGCGAATGGATAGATGAATTCACTCTTACTTCAGTTCGCTGTTGCCATTGTTATCAGCCTAATTAATATTATTCGTGTGTTCAGAATGATGCAGTTATCAACCCCCTATTGCTTATCAACTGTTCACATTTCCGCATAAAGTCCTAGCACCTAAGTAAAAAGATTTAACGCTTATTTTGCGCTTATCTTCATTCTCTTTTGTTTTAAACAAGCACATCTTTTTACTAATCTACTTGTCACTGGACAGAGAGATAGGCTCACTATAGAACCTCACACATAAGTGCATCGGCTGAAGTTGTCACAATTCTCAGTAGTATACAAAAAACAGGTGGTTGAGAAAACAGTGATATCAAAGTAGACAAAGTTGTGTAAGAGAATAAACAACCTGAAGATAACGGTTAGAAGATGCCATCAAGTGAATACATCTGGGCTACTGTCACCGATTTTTAACCATTTCACAAAGACTCCTCAACTACTAACTCTCATCTTCTCATGGACCTCAACCTCAACCAGTTAATCTACATCTCCCAACATGACTCACACCAACAGTAGGGGACTTCATGGATTGGTGCTGCGTCTTAGTGTGGCCAACCAAATTTAACGTCATTTAGCATTGCATATCGAGGTAGGCTTGCAGTACATGTTCAGGCCACCTCAGTCGATGTTATCACCAACATTATTTATCTCACTCGTTCATTATTCACATTATTGCGTATTTCCGTTTGCTGATTTTGCATCATTCATTCGATAACGTTCCCTCCTACCCTATAAATTTGTTTAGGCTTTGATTGAACTTTAATACCTTGACTTTCATTCTGATCTTCTAAACAATAGACTGGCATCTGAGTTAATCTTCATATCGATTATTTATTTACACGATAAAGTTCATCTGGTCGTAAGTTCAAACTTAATCCATTTCACTTTTGAGAGGTATTTATTAGCATTTTGACTGCTAATACAATAAACATCACTTACTGACTTTAGCTGTAGACCTTCGCTTAGAAAGTAAGTTCATTTGTCATTACTAGGAAATAGTTAATAATTATCATCTATATGCGTTAGAGGTATTGTCCTTTTCAACTTGTCAAAAAAGTTATGCTGATAAGACTAAGTATTCGCTGCTTATATATATTGCTTGAGAGATTTCAAGGCTTTTACCACTCCTAACTGTTTGAACTGTGAACGAGCATCAAAATTTAACTTGAAGGTTAGTAAGTTACATACAATAACAGACCTATTTTTTAACATGACTCTTCTGTAGGCTTTATCGAATATTACCAAGATGAATAGTTACTTAAATGTTTGGTTCCTGTTTAAGATTTCCAGAAAAAGGTTAGATTGAACCTTTTTTAGTCTTTATTGCATTGAAGATTTATTTTATCTCTAAGTTTTCGGGAGTTTTGATTCTGATTTGTTCATTATTTTTAAAGTTGTTATTCTTCGTAGATTAACATCAGTTGGAGGAACAAAGGAAACCTGGGAGCACTGGACCGGTGTTTCGTCCTAGTATGGGACTCCTCAGCAGTGCGCACCCACAACCCCACCAGGGATCGAACCCGCGACTTCAGGTTCCGTGACCAGCGCTTTACCGTGAGCTTACAGAAGTTGGAAATATGGAGCATTGGATTCCAACTCAGTGGCTTAATGGTAACGTGCCGGCCACGGAATCTGAAGGCCACGGGTTCGATTCCTGGCGGGGTCGTGGGTGTGCACTGCTGATGAGTCCCATACTAGGACGAAACAGCTGTCCAATGCTCCCGGGTTTCCTTTGTTCCTCCAAGTGATGTCAGTCTACGATGAATAACAACTTGAAATATTTCCAAATCTCCACAGCCCCCTCAAAATTCATTATATTTAAAGCATATGAATAAATTGAGCTCTCAGAAAATTAGTGTTTGAAGTTTTTCAAAATTAATTGCTGAACACATTAGTACACTGACGACATCTGCATATATATATATATATATATATATATATATATATATATATATATATATATGTACGCATGATGTTGCGTTCCTAAAATTTCAGAAATATTCTCGTCATGTGAGGAGCACATTTTCCTAAATATGGTAATAACTTACTTGCGTATTCAGTTAAATTTATGATAATTCATTCCAAACATTGTTCTATGTATATCGTTAATAATATTATATATATATATATATATATATATATATATATATATATATATATATATATATACTGTACTCAGTTGAATTGTATTTGACAGAAATTTGAAGTTAGCTTGTGACAGGTTTCAGTAAACGTTTGA